GATCGGCGAAAAAAAGGTATATGTTTACCTTTTATCATCCTATAGATATGAAACGTGTGCTTGAAGATGGACTGTGGATTTTTTAGCAGAATTTACTGATTCTTCGGGCACTAAAGCCTGGGAATGTCCATCTCCGTGTGCCTCTGAATGAGGCTGAACTTTGGGTCCAGGTTCATGATATTCCTTATGATTTTATGAATTTGGGTGTTGCTAGGAGAATTGGGAATTTTGTGGGAAAATTTATAAGTTGGGATAAGGCTCAGTTTGGTAAAAAAAAATGGAAGCCCTATATGAGAATTGGGGTTTGTTATGATGTGGGGAAACCTCTCAAGGTGGGAACCACTCTCAGAAAGGGACAGGGCGAAGAGCACTGGGTTGATTTTAAATATGAGAAGCTGCCTAGTTTATGTTTTTCTTGCGGTGTTATAGGACATGCTGACAGGTTTTGCCCCCTAGTTTATGAGAATGTCGTACTCTGTGGGCGCTAATAGACCTTATGGGGTCGGCCTACGGGAAGGCGGAGGGGGGAAGGCACGGATGTTGGGGGGAAATAAGTGGATTATTCCAGAAGGCTCAAGGGAGGATAGCAAGGCAGACCGAGAGGAGGGAGGCAGTTCTGGTCCAAGCAGGAAAGGGTGGAATATTCCCTTAACTCGAAATGCCAAGAGCGGAGTGGAGAATGCGGAAGCAACGGCCACGGAGGACAAGAGCGGTGAGCCAAAGCATAGGAGGACCTGGGAAGAGTCTAGTGGAGGAAGAGAAGAGGGTGAAACTATGGTCTTGGATGACCCAAAAAATGGGGAGGGGGCGGGTTCAGACGCCTCGACCCGCCGAGTTCTTTGAAGATGTTTTTAGAGGGGAACGGGTGTTGGTGGTCGTTCGTTTGCTTCAGGATGCTCTTTAATTTCCATGTCTTTATTATTTTTAAGTTTACTTTTTGCACTCAGTCTTTGTTTCTTTCTGTTACTGTGGTTTTGTTCTGTCAGACTCTTACATTAGGTGGGAGTGATGAGGGTTTTGCTCTGGCCACGTTTGGCTCATTTAGACCCAATACAGGAGCAACGAATCATATTGTTTTATTTAAGCTGATTGATTCTCCAGCTGGTTCGAGGGTCGGTGGCGGGAAGTGTTTCCTTTATCATTTATGTCCCTTGCTGAATGTTTTATTATCAATATGTCTCCTATAATGATCCTCCTATAACGTATTTTCCCGTTTTAATGGCCAATGATTTCTATTTTCACTTACGGGATAACTTTTTTTTTGAGTGGATTCAAAATTTCACCAATGGCCACCTATATTTCACTTGGGCCGTAAGTGCTTCGTCTACACTTTTTGTGTATAACTTTGACCCATTTGTCCGTCTATACAGACACTTGAAATATACTCCCTTCGTTCTCTAATACTTATCCATCTTTCCATTTTTGGATAGTTTTTTCAATAAATATACTCATTTACTCTCATTCTCTTTCCTACATTTTCATTTAAACACAATTCACTACATCTTTTACACTACCCTTATTACTTTTCTCTTAAAACTTGTGTCAAATCCTATAGGGACAACTAATGGAGAACGGATGGAGTATAAGTTATCTTTATAAAGACAACTCTATCTGTTTAAATAGACAAGTGTGTCAAAGATGACAACGTACACAAAGAAGTGTACACAATCATTTTTCTTTTCACTTATGGAATACTTTCAATTATTGAAAGTATTCTTTATTTTCACTTACGAAATACTTTCAATTATTTCTATTTCTACTTGCGAGATAACTTCTATTTTCACTTACTAGCCCCATATTATAGTTTTTTTTGAACAATCAATTTTAATGTTATCGAGCAGCCTCTAAGTGATTTTATCCTAAGAGTGCGAGAATATTGATTAGGCTTAACTAGGCCGGTAGCTAACCCTGGTAGATAGATAGATAGTGCGTACGAGTAGTATATAATAAAAGAATTGTGTCCCTTCGGGGACATCCGATAAAATTGGAACGATATAATAAAAGAATTCTAATAGTGAAGATTTACTATTATTAGAAAACATAATATGTACAGCGGACGATGCACTGATTTATATAAGCCTGATTTTATTTGATATGTTTAAGTCTGGTTTGTTCTGATCTTATTTGAAAACGCTCTAAGTAAAACATATTCCACTAAATAACACTATGGAAAAGTAGTTTAATGAATCATTAATGGTTGATTAAAGAGAACACGTGAGCAAAGAGATTTTGTTTGACTTAGAGTCGATGAGAAGTTAGACAAGGTAATATATTAGTCAATAATATATCAGTGGAATATTGACAAACAAAATATTTAAACGTGACCAATGTTTAAAAAACCTGATACAGTAATACATCGTTCTTGATTAATAAGAGTCGGGCCATCCTAGAGGTCAAGAGGGAAAAAGCTGCACCTAGAATTTAAGGGTCTTTAAATCACACCAAGACAATGCAAATTTTAATAAGCCAACCAATACATAGAACTACTCCCTCCGTCCCCTTTTAAATGTCTCGTTTTACCATATTGTGATGTCTCTATTGAATTGTCTCATACCTTCTTTGGTAAAATTTGTGTGACTCAAAATCATTCTTACTTTATTCTTACTTTATCAATTAATATCAACTACACAAATCTCCTTTTCTTAAAACTCGTGTCACCCTCTACCATCCTAATATAATAGAGACGGAGGTAGTAAATCGTGAGTTCCAAAATTTTAAAAATAGTTTATTAGCTTATTGAATTGAGAGACTTCTCCAAATTGAACTAAAAGACAATATATATTCTTTAATATAAGCATTCAAGTGTAACACATTCTAGAACAAGTGAACAGTTTGTAGTTTTTTAAAAAAAACGATGGTTTTTTATTTGATTTGCACCAAAAATGAGTTTATAATTTGTAAATTGCAGCAATTTGTATTTGGTCATGTACTACGTATATATACTCGGTGTATTAGTGTATATTAATGCCTACGAAGAGGGATTTAATATTTTGTTAATTGATAGTGATGTTTTTTTTCCTGAGTTGATGAAATAGTACAATAAGATTTAAAAAGCTTTGAGCATAGCTAGACCAACAGAAAGAACTCCTTACTAAATTGTCGCCCGGGGATAATAAGCTACTGAAAAAGGAAAAGGCGGTGTTGTACATTGGCTGAGAAAGTGACGTCCCTCGTCCGCAGACAAGCAAAGATAGGTACGGATTTTGCCAAATGTCACATCTTGCTCTCAGTTCCAGGCTATGAGTTTAGCTGTTTCAAACATGTACTTCGTACCACCCATTAAATAAAATCAAAAAACGATTTGACTCATTTTTTAAACACCAAATCACCCTTGTTTCACCGGATGTTTCACCGGATTACTTTTAGGAAAATGTTGTTTTATAAGCCCTTTGTTGTACTCCCTCCGTCCCAGAAAATTCTTCCTAGTTTGACTTGGATCGGAGTTTAAGAAAGTGGGAATAAAGTGGAAATGTGTGGTTGTAGTTGTGTAAGAAAAAGGTGAAATGAATGTGAGTCACACAAATAATCAAAAAGGTGAAGTTGGAAGAATTTTCTGGGACGTCCCAAAAAAGAAAGTTGGAAGAATTTTCTAGAACGGAGGGAGTATATGTCATTTTACACTTCGTATGAATCATTTGTACACAAACATTTCTTTTTTATTTTGTGAAGTGAATTGCTTTTTGCACTGACAAAATTTGGTACATAAAAAAAATTGTCAATGCGAAAAATTATTCCCTTCTCAAACAAACAAAAAATTGTCTATATACAAATAATTCAGCGAGTGTGCAAAAAACGTGAAGCATGATTGTTAGTTTTAGGCTTACAACTTTCAAGAAGTTGCGCCAAATGAGAAGAAAATTAAAGTCAGACAGAACGGTTCGTTTTGTTTCTAACGTTCATCTATACACCATCACATAAAAAAATCATTTATGACCAATTGACTTTGCGTGTTCTCAGGTTATGATTGCCCTAGGGAGATTCACCTCTAATTGAATCGATCAAACACCGTAAGATATTTGAACTGAAACTAATTCACTACTAGAAACTAACTCTCAAACTGAAACTCTAAATAATACTCCCTCCGTCCCTAATAACTTTGCCAAGTTTGACCGGCACGGGGATTAATAAAGTAAAAACTGTGTGGTTGAGGTTTGTGCAGAGGAGAGAGAATTAACTGGAACCACAAATTCTTTACTTAAATGGGAAAGTGGCAAAGTTAATGGGACATCCAAAAAAGGAAAGTTGGCAAAGTTATAAGGGACGGAGGGAGTACTCCGTATTAGACATTGATTCCTCAACCATTCAAACTAGCACTGAAGATAAATAATTATCCTGGAAGAAATATCTCAGTCACTTTCATGGTGACTTGAAGTCAACATCTTCTGCATGTGAGCAGGATCTTAATTGTGGGATGTTGATCAATTGGACCACACTCTTTCATAAAAAAGAGTTAGCACTAGAACGAGTAGAGATTTCTTAAATAACAAAACATATACTAGTACTATGTATAATATGATCTTTTAAGTTATTTTGGTGTCGAGGTGTGCTTGATATTTGAATCTCATGACACTAATCCTAATTAAATTTAAAGTACTATAAATATTCAAAAATCGTCTATCATATCTAATCGTATCAACATTGAATATATTAAATCCATTAATTTTCCTTTTTCAAAATAATGTTTAAACAATTTACACCAATAGAGGAATGCGCCAATAGGCATGTCAATAATTAAATATAGGTATCATGTTGATCACTATATTTAGCATCTCCAAGAATAACAACAAAAAGGCTCTAACTTAATTGTTTTTAGTGATTTTGACATCTTTGTTCTATCCATTAAGTAGACCAATATATGATGGCAGCGAAATATTAAAGGCTATTTATTCACTTTTGATGGGTGTTTTTGGATATGAATTAGACTTTTCGAGAAAATAATTTCAAAACAACAATGTTTAGTAATGAGTATACACAAAGTTGTACACGTCTTTTTACTTTTTGGAGTCCTTCACACCCGCTTTTTATTTTTATCTATTTGTGAATTTTGCAGATTTGTACAATCATTTATGTTCCAAAATATTCACTGAATCAATACTGAACTCTAAATTAGTTTCCAAAATGTGCAATGTATGAAGTACAATGTACAAACCCAAGTACACAATGTTTTCACCTCTATATCATTTGTCACAAGCTACCATTGGATATCTATTTCTAAATCTAAATAAATAAAGAATGAACACACAGCAAAATTGTTCTTCTATAGATCTCTACTGTTTCTCTTTTGGGTGCAGATATTCCTCACTTATTTGTGTTGAATGAATACTGCTGATAGTGAAAAGGTCATTTTAGTCAGCAAATATGGAACAGCATCAATTGAAATAGTGTAAGAACCTGCAATAGACATGGAAATTGCATGAAATGAGATTCAGACATAAGAAGCATAAGGTAAAATGAAAGATGAAAATATATACTTCTTATTGAAATAGAAGATCCAACCAAACACACCTCTCCTATGTGTACTGCAGAGGTCACTCATTCCAATTCTACCCACAATCTTGGCTCAAAATATGAAACCCTTCATGAATTTAACACAAAACTAAATTAGATACAAATGTACATTCTTGGAAATTTTAGGTGTTGTATAAATTGTGAATGGAAACAATATCTTAAATGAAGATGCAAGGAATAACAGTTTACCAAGCAAGTTAGTATGAAATGCACCCAGCCACTGTTCCTGCTCAGGTGGCATCATTTTAACCACTTCTGTGGATCCTTGTGGTCTCAGTAACTGCAAAATAATGGATATACACATTTTAATTAAGATTTTTTCAAGGATAATTACATAACAAATCTTGATTGGATTGGAGTCATTCATCTGTGCCAAATTGTCAAACCACATTAAAAAGATTAAATTGAAAAGATTAGCTAGTCAAACTCAAAGCCTCTTAACCCCACCCATATGTTTCTCTTTAAGATTGGTGCATCTTATCCTCAACAACATCAATAACAATAATAATCATAATAAAAATAAGAATAAAAATAAGAATAAAATGAAAACATACATTTGTGCAGATTATCCTCTTAGTAGTAATCCCACCCGCCATATCCATGTGAATAAGGCAACAACTCTTCAACCTCGATCCTTGCGTTTGAGTAGCTTGAGCTCTTTCGCATCCGGTTTTGGTTAATAGACTCGACTTCTGCCAAGAATATACCATACACCGGTCTGTGATCTGAGAACCGGGACTCTGCCCGAACATAAGACATCTGATGGAGGCCTCGCCCACACCATAATATACGATCACACCTTCACAAATCAGTGCACTACATTAGTGTCAACTGTCAAGAAGTATACCCTTCTTTCTTTTGAGTTAATTTATTAATTATAGATGTTCAATCACTAGGAGATTTGATATTGAAACTTTTATTCTGCATCAGTGTCTATCGAATAACAAACCAGCAAATAAGATGTTAGGTTACTACTCATACTGTCATCATGATTTTTATGACGCAAACGTAAGTCTTAATATACCTAATGCATGATATGTTTACGAAGTCAAAAGAGGGTATACCATGCAGGAGTCCTTCGTTTTTCTTTCTGGTGTGTATCTTCTCCGGCGTATCTGTCTGAATTACTGGAATACTTGTAAGTAGGTGGGAAATATATTTTCCCTTCTCTCCATCCGGTAAAAACACGTCCTTTCCTTTGTTCTATTCGAAGCTGATCGTTTTCCAATAAAACTTTCCAATTGCGCATCTCAACTAACGCCTTTGCAGTTCGGTAAGATAAGGCAATCCGGTAATTCAAATCCCCAAGCCATATAATTCGACTATACATAAGCAAAGTAATAAAACTGTTTAGGAAAACATATTCTAGCAATGATTCTCTCAACAATAACTAAGTAAAGTAAAGAGTGAAATGGCTTACTCATGCTCGAGGATTGATTGGGGAGAGTTGTCATCTCCAGTGCCATGAACTCTTGGAAACCTAGTTTTCTTAAGAATCTCCATAACATCTGAGTTCCTTCTTAGCTCATCGCCATCCTTTTGACCAGAAGTCAAATGGCTACAAACAAAGCAGAAGCTTGTTTGATGCAACGACATGCTAATAGATATAGAGCCCTGGAAATAGCAAATACACGATTCATGAGATTGCTTATTCAAGTAATATCTAAAGGCTCACAAAATTCATATAAACCAAGCAGTACCTTGTTTCCGAGATATCCCATCAATCCTCTTCCAACACAGGAGACCTTTAGATTGCTAATGTCATCTCTCAGAGAAGATTTTATCCACACGGTGAGAAAAATCCCGACCATCTGCTTGCTTGCAACCAAACAGTACTTAGATCTGCCCGTCTGCCGATCTCTATCCTCCACCGAAACAAAGTCATTATAAGAGTGTGGGGAATACAGCGTGTTCGGAGAATCATATGGTACATTTTCATCATCCGAAGAACCTCCCCAATTTTCATCATAATTGCTATTCATTCTCCCATACACGACTCTATCACAAACACTAAACCGTCGGTCAAATCGAGGCTCAGGAATGGCTGAATCATTATTCTCTGCCATTCTCATGCTACGCGTGAAAGAATGGAACGAACGGCGGTGGAAAAACGATGTCGTAGAACCCTCAAAATCAGCGTCTTGTTCTGCAATGGGATTAGGGATTGGAGAAGGCGTGTTGTAACTACCGCTTGTGCCGGGAATATTGTTCAATGTTTTTCGGATTAGAGACAGCCATTTTCTTGCAGGGCCATTATCTTCTGTCCCCAAAACATTTCCGGCATTTAGTGGAACAATTTCTTGAAACCTATAATAATAAAATCTTTGCTGTTCATTATTTTCATTACATAATGTTGGAAATTAAAACCAGAAGAGGAAATCTAGTTATTTCAACTCACCCTAACACATAAATGTCTGCAGGAGTTGAGGTATGGAGCCAATCATCCAGGCTTAAGTTGCTAGTTGGGGATTTTCCAGCCACATTCCATGTAGCTACAAAGACTCTGGTTCAATGTAAAACAAACATCAGATATACAAGTACTGTGAATGTTTGTAAGATGAGTAGTTCAGACTCTACAAATACATACCTGTAGTTATTTACATCTGTGACATCAGAAGTATCAAGTTGGATCTTGGGTTGCTGAACAGAGATCCTTCTGCTTGTAGAATCTGAATCAGATTCAGCACAAGATTGAAATGCAAGAAAGTTAAAATTCAAGAAACACAAAAATAAAAATAAGAAAAGACAGATTCTTTGCTTAGTCATGAAAAAACGTGTGCTTGTCTGATACTGAACCTGTTTTGTTGTTCTGAAGTGAGAATGTCTCGTTTTCTGCAAAATGGTTCCTCAATTCATGATCAACACCTGCAAAAGAGGAAAGATAAGGCTGCGTTATTTCCGGTTAAAGAATCCCAGCCACGTCTTTTTAAATACACTAAATAAAGGAAAACGAAAAAAAGAAAACATTTTTTGTTAAAATCTAGGAAAAGGGTAGTCGTTGGGACATGCTTTAGAAAAGAAGAGAACAAAAGAACAGATCTCAAGGTGAAGACAGAAATGGCAGACTTGGTCATCAAGATTCCAACCCACCTCGACAGAGGATGTCATCGGCATGAAAGTCTTCAGCTTTGCTCTTGATGTTGAACCATTTCTTGACCAGTGTCTTGGTCCATGAAATCTAGATCCAAATTACCAGTTTTTATTATAGCACAACAAAAAAGAAGCAAATGAACAATAAAATATACAAGAAAACTCAATGAATTTGAACAGCAAACCTTATTCTTCTTTGAGCTTTCATCTCTCATTATGGCAGAGAGCTCCGTACAGAGATACGTGAGCTAAGATTACAACAAATAAATGAGTGAAAAGAAAAGAAAGAACCAGAAAAGGGATGGTGGGCGGAAGGAGCGAATCAGGTGGTGGGTTTTCAAGTGATGAAGAGAAGGGCCGTCAAGAGAGGAATGAGATAACCCCACTTATCTGGCATTCTGATTTCTGGGTATTTCTAACACCACACAAATCGAAAGAACCCAGTTTGAATAGACCATTGCCAAATTGGGACTTCACTTCAGGGCGAACAGGAAAACAATGTATTTAGATTAGGATGTTTCCGGGAGAGAGGTGAGGAAACAGGACAGGGAGGCTGAGAAGGGTTATAGTGAGATGATTCAGCTGTTTTTGTTGTTCTGTAGTTTAGTGAAAGAAAAACAACTGGATGGTTATGGGAACAGCAATACGTCGAATTTGAAGAATATATAAAGCGAAGAAGTACAGGAAAATTCTTTTGTAACCCCCCATACCCCCCTCGGGAAGGGTTTGCAGTTTTGCACCCCAAACCAATGGCTGCCCTGCCGCGGTCCCGATTGAATCTATTTTCCCTTCAATCAATTGTAGGGCTCGTTCAGTATAGTTTTGAGTTTTCTGTTTTTTTGTTTTTTAAAAACAAAAACTGTTTTTAGTTTTCTATTCTTATTTTTTTTAAATTGTTTTGTTTTAGTACTAATTCATTTTCAGTTTTGTCATTCCAAGAAACAAATAATTATTTTCGTAGTCCATGATAGTCTGATGATGGTCTCGGGAGTGGTTGGAAGCGGTCTGATGGTGGTCCGGTGCTGTCCGGTGGTGGTCCGGTGGTGGCCGGTGGTGGTCCGGTGGTGGCCGGTGGTGGCCGGTGGTGGCCGGTGGTGGCTGGTGATGGTCCGATGGTGGTCCGGTGGTGGCCGGTGGTGGTCTGGTGGTGTTCCGGTGGTGGGCCGGTGGTGGTCTAGTGGTGGCCGGTTGTGTCCCGGAGGTGTCCCAATAATTGGGTATTGAAGATAAATGATAACAAATTTATATAAACTATGTTTTGTGGATTTCAGAATTATGTTTTAGTTTTCTAAAAACACTTACAAAGATTATGATTTTGGAAACAAAAACAACTTTTTACCAAACGTGTTTCTGTTTTTTTTCTAAGAAAAAAACAAAAACAGAAAGCAGAAACGTTACCGAACGCACCCATAGGTATTCGTTTTTTCATGGTTGTAATTTTTCTTTGCCTAACATATTCAAAATAGCCAAGTACCTTGTGGTCTAATGGCATCACTGTGACACTCCCAAGGAGGAGGTCACAGGTTCGAATCTCATCCCAGTTCAAGGATGTTGGCATTAACAATGAGTAGATACTATATATGTTAGAAAGAATTGTAAAAAAACATATTCAAAATACAACACGGTGACTTAAATTGATACTCAGTATAAGAGCATTGAACATAGGAAATAAAAGACAAACGGACCACTTCTGACCACCGACCATCGAATCAGACTCAGAACCAATCACATGTAAAAAAAATAATATGATTCGCTGATCCTGTAATGGGTCTAAATGAGCCTAACGTGGTTAGCGTAAACGTTTCATCACTCCAACCTAATGCAAGAGTCTGACAGGAAAAAATGTAAATGACAAAAACAAACATAGTCTGATTAATCGAAAAAACAAAACTAAAAGCATATACATGGGAATTCAGCTACATCCTCAACAACCCAAGGAGCTTTCCCCGAACCTCAGCAGCAAGGACCCTCTTCACATCTCTCGGCGGGTCGAGAAGATTGGACCCGCCCTAGCCCCATTTTTTGGGACATCAACCGCCATTTTGTCTTTTTCTGTTTCCTCTTCCTTTTCCTCCGCCCAGGCCCTCCTACGCTTCTGCTCGCTTGTGCTTTCCTTTGTAGCTGATGTCACCTCTTCCTCATTGCGGACCTTATGGCCTCCCCCACAGTGAGAACCCAGTCCTGCCTTCGTGTCCCACTTCCGCCACTACCACCACTACAATACAACTCCCTCTATTGTGTTTAGCTAGTCATTTTTTTTTTACTTTTTCACTTAAAGTTCCTCAAAATAAGATTAAAATTGTTTGTGAATTATAAAATAAAACTATCATATTTTTATTGCCTAAATAAAAGTAATTATTCTCATGTTTTTACATTACAAAACCTTAAACATGACAATATTTTCAAGGGAAAACTGTCAAATAGGTCCTCGAACTTTCATAAAAAGGTCAATTAAGTCCTATAGGAGGTTCTATCCGGCCGTCGCGATTTGGGGCAGTTCCCGTCGCAATTAAGTCCTTCTATAGAAGGACTTAATTGACTTTTTTATGAAAGTTCAAGGACCTATTTGACGGTTTTCCCTATTTTCAAACTTGGCTGTGATTACTCATATTTAGTGAATAAAAACATAAGAATCATATTTTGGAATTTTGAAATGTTTTTACTTTTATTTCGGGAATTTTCTCATTATATATTTATCTGCAAAATTATTCACAGTATGCAATATGTTCTATGAAATATAAAAGAATAAAAGTATAAATTTATAAGTTTTTGCAAGAAATATAAGAATTAAAAAGTTCGTCTAAAATTTACCATAATTGGTTGAAAAAATAAAAAATGACTTACTTAAAAGGGACGTATAGTAATTAGCTCTGTTAGTTTATTCGCGTATAATTCGCGTATAATACACTCGAACGTACAATTCACGTATAATACTCCCATTTATGAATTTTTCAAAATTTTTTGAAAAAATCACGTACTTTAAGGATAAAATGTTTAATGCACGTACCGTACGTATTGATACGTATTTTATTACGTATAATACTCCTGTTTATGAATTTTTCAGAAAATTATGAAAAACTCACGTGCTTTAAGTAAAATGTATAATACACGTACTGTACGTATTGATACGTATTTTATTAAAAAAAACACCATTAAATGGAAGCCTAATGGAGTGATACAACTGAAACAAAATGCATGTCAAGCTAATCAATATTATTTATATTGCTTAAAAAACGTTATGCCTTATATGTTCGCTAATTGTTTAACGGTCATTACATTTAATGAATTAGCTTCTTAAATTCGTAATCTGTTTCGATATTTCTATTGTACTACTACTGTATTACTTTTGTTCTCCACCCATATACCAAGACTCCAAAGAGATTGAAAAATGTTGTGGCGGCTCACTAAACTCATGGTCAAAGTAATATCAACTATTTTCTAGTAATATCTCTCCATTTCTACTTAAATAGGCAATGTCATTTTATTACGTATTGTACCTATGCATTTAAATACGTAAATCTAAAAAAAAAAAACTATTCCGTACATTTTAAATTGTTGAAGATTGTGGTGCAAATGTTAAATAACTCTTTATTTCTATCATTAAATAAGTACTTCGTATATAAGACACATATTATATGCCGTATTTTTAAATTGTGAAACGTTTAAAACGCGTCCGTATCTTTATATATTTCACGAACGTATGAAACATATATTAAGCCGTATTTTATATAATTGTATCGTATTATACACGAACGTCCGTATTATTGTATTATTCGCGTACCGTATATTACTAACAAAGGTAATTAGACAGTAGTAGTATAAAACTAATAATCCATACCGCATTCTTCATTCTTCTTTTTTTATATTTCCTTGTAAACATACTCCGTAATCCGTATTATAATAGCTTATCAAAATAATGTCAACATCTTCATGAAATGTGCGTGACTCTCAGACAGGGGTTGACCGTAGTAGAGACCCAGGGGGCAGTCGTCCCTCCAACAAAAATTTTTTTTAGTGTATATATATACAAAAAAATAATTTTCGCCCTCTCAAAAAATATTTTTTTTAAGTTACCGCCCTCCCAAGATAAACTTACTGGGTCCGCCCCTGTTCTCAAAGCAATTCTTCTTTTGAGATAGTGATGTCATCAGACTTTAACATACTACTTACTTGGCACTACTAATTACGAAGGAGAGATTTACCTAAATAAGACTAAAACAAGGTATAATTGCAAAAATAGGACTACTATGTTTTATTTAACAAAAATAGGACTAAAATATACTAGCTTGACAAAATTACCCTTAATATTAAAACTCCAATCCGCATCGCAAAACTGCTACACAAACCTTCTAGGTGCCGTATCCATCAAACTGCTACAGTTGCCGCCCTTTTGCCAGACCGCCACCACCACCCCCATGAGCTGACACGATAAGCCTTCTCTTGTTCTTCTTCCAGGGCATCTTTTGTCTGGTTTTATCTTCTCTTCTAATTTATGAACTTTTAAGATTCTACACTAAAAATATGAAATTGGAGCTAATAAGTTTCAACAAATTACTAAACACCCATAACATTTGAATTTTTTGGTTTTGATTTTTTTATTTAATTTGAATTGTATTTATTCAACAAAATGTCACTTTCATAATATGAGAATGTCAAAAAAATTTATTATTTGAAAAATCTGCCACATTTGTGGCAGTATATTTATCAAGATGACAATCTGGAAATGTCATATCTCCATAAAAAATGTCATTCTTATGACATTTTATGGCATTTTTATGACTTATCTGAGAATGACATAGTTACTTGTTATTAGAAATGACATGTCTTTTGACATGTTCTCCAAATGATGTTAGAATTTTCATCCTTAAATTATCATTAATTTTCATTTTAAAAATTCATACTTTTTACAACAAAGAATGTCATGTTTTTATACGAAACTTCCATCATCAAGTCATTATTCTTGACATTTTCATTGGAGGTCTTCAAGACATATACTCCGTACTAAACTTGGGATTTTAATACTTTCATATTTCAAATAAATAAATAAAATTCAAATCCAAGAAGAAGAAAAAGGAAATGAAGAAGTAGAAAAAGAAGAAGGGAAGAAAGAAGATTACCCACCTGACTTGGCTGAAGAAGAAGGGAAGAGGATTACGACAGGTGGTGGTGGTGTGGTACGTGGCTATGGTGGATGACAGAGCTGTAGATGAAGCAATTGCTGACAGATGAGTTCCAGCCCATGGAGGTAGGGTCGAATGGAAGAAATCGGCGATCGATTGGAGAGAGGGCATAAGGAGAGTCACGCATCATCTTAAGTTATAAGGGTAAAACGGTAATCTTTAGACCCATTTAGGGAATAACAAACTTGAAGTCCTAATTTAGAGTTTAAGCAATGTTTTAGTCCCATTTAGGGCAATTTCTTATTACGAAGTATATCGGTAAGTTAAATCTCTTTTTAAAAATAATAATAATAAAACTGTAACTTAATATGTTAATGTTTTTAATTCAATTAAATAGGCTGATATATAATTTATAGCGTAATTTATAGCATAATTTATAGTGTATTAATTAATACTAATACACGATATCACCAATCATATTAAGTTAAAATCTTAATACATTACCATTAGTAAATCATAACCTTGGAAATGGATTTAAGGTACTACGTATATCATATCAACTTAATTTGTTAATGTTTTTATTATTACTCTGTACCACTTATTATTTCAATCTTAAACC